CATGCCAAATGGCCCCCACACATTCATTAGAATTTTTTACTGCTGATTTGGTATTTCTAGATTGCAAAATATTCTGAAATCATTAACTGATCATGACCAGGATTTCTCAAGGGACAACTTGCATTTTGACTAAGTGCTGCAAGAATTATGTGGTTTTGAAGTCAGCAATGCCTCCTTCTTGTTGTGTTTACAGCACCACCTTGTTTGGTCAGGTGTCTATACTGTAAGTCAGCCACTTCAGTCTCAGTCTCTGCTATTTACTGTGTGTGCTTGCAGCGTGGAAAAGAGGATATGAGCCGTCAGTGCAGGTTTAGGAGGGCACATGTACAGGTTTATTGTCTTCTTTTCTTATCTGTCTCTCAATGAGAAATCAACTATAATTTCAAATTTAAATGAAAAAATACACTGTAACCCCCACCTCAAAAACTGAAAGTGAGAAATCTGGATGAATCATCGGTTAATACATCTATTTCACTTGAGGGGAATTTGTGTATTCATGATCTGATTTTCAGAGATGATGAAACAATTGCATGCCCTGTTAATGGATGATGGATGTTTGCCTGTTATGCCTTCAGGCATGTAGGGGTAGCAACATCCTGTTGCTGTTTCTGTAACATTTAGTTTTTTACGGGACAGGATTGTTAGCCTTGTGCCCAACCTCCAACATGAAGGATCTGGTGCCCGATGTGGAACATAAATCCACTACCCTTAGATTGTGAGTCTCATGCTCTACCAACAGAGCTAGTTGGGGCCGTGCCCTGTTAAAGACATAATTAAATTCAACTTTCTCTTTTTTAATCAACCTGTGACTTAGAGACCCTCAAATATTATTGTATCATCTCAGCAGTAAAATGAAAAATTAAAGACATCTCTTTGTCTATGCTATACACGATACTGTAGATGCCATGAGCTTTCAAATAGCAGGAGATTAAATCATTAAAATCATACCAGAAGGTCAGTAAAAACCAACAGACCACACCTATATTTTTTTTTTCAAAATTCAGAAATTATTTCAGAATTACAGAACTCTCATTTTATTTTTGGGATTGTAATTGGATACCTCACTATGAATTTTCTACTGTACAGAATGTTTATAATTGTACTTATACTGTAAGAGGTACTATTTTTGCGGTTTAGTTTAATACAAAAAACAAAATTAAGAAATGAGTTTAATTCCGTCTAAGGAAATGTACGATTTCCAAAAAAAGAAATGGAGTTGCTATTTACTGCTTTTAATTCCAAAGAAGAGATTATCACATTAATTCCTTTAATAGGGAATTAATTAATTCCTTTACAAAGGAATTAATTCAGAAAATTAACAACACAGTACCATTTTACAATTAAAGAAGTAATGTAATAGTGATAATTGTGCTTACGTGTTGGGTGAATTAAATGTTGCTGAAAAGGTGAAAAGTTCTCCACGAGTAAAAGACCCTTACTCTAAGTCCTTGCCTAGTACATGTCGCTAGCCAAATGTGACTTAAATCTCCCAGAAGGTAGCACACAGTTTCAGAATGTCACCTAGGGTTGGGATGTACAGATGAGATTAGTCATCCACTTCTATCTCAGCAAAACAGAGACTCGCAGGAGCCTGTCACCCTTGTGAGATACAGCCCCTCCTCCAGTGATCCTCACTCTGCTGTACTGTAAGTCAAAACAGATCTAACAGCATGTCTGTAACTGAGTGGCTCCCATCTCCACTTCCTCACTCTCCCTCTGCAGTGCAGGAGTGATTTCAGGGAGTCACCAGCTCAAAGAAACTGCTGGTGGCTCCAAAATGGAACTTTTGAAAGTTGAAAGTGCGGAAGAGATGACTACAACCAAGTTCAATCAGAGTTGGTTGTCAGTAATTAGAAATCACTCCTGACATCATTTCCTCTCCTAAAACCCTATAAATACTGTATATGATCCCAGGGCTGGATTTTGGCGTTCTTAGTCCCTAGGCACTTTCACTCCAAAATGTGCAAAACGAGTGTTTAACACCAATTGAATAACATCGATTGACATGATGCACTTTCAACTATTCTAATCCTAAACCAAGTGATTGATGGAGCCAGTCGAGCAACCATCACTTCGATACTTCCAGTTTCTAGAACAGCCGCTGGTGTATAATTATTGATTTGGAGTACCTAGAGTCGATCGCAAGCACGTTGTTTCAGCTCATTTTGGGGGTTTTTCATTAATCACTGGTGTTTCCCTCCTTCGTACGCCCTAACAATTTCGTAGGCCCTTGGCACTGTGCCTAATGGGAAATACGGCACTGTATGATTCCCTTCTCTCCCTCGCATACATCTTTTGCATCTCACCTCCACCCCATCTCCACCTCTGCAGCTGCCCCTTGGTCACTCCTTACGCTGCATGGGGGTCCCGGCCTCCTTGTCCTGTGGCCAGGTGCTCAGCCCTCATCCAAGCAAGTTACGCCAAATTTTCACTAAACACTCCATAATCCTTTCGGGATGCTTAATCCTTGGTTTTGTTATTCCTGGTGACATAAGTTTGGGTACAAAAATGATTAAAATGCTGCACCCAAAAGTTACTGGAAACACCCTGTCCAAAAACTGTCGAAAACCCACTCCAATTTTAGGATGACGTTAACTGAGGGGTCAAGGCATTTTCTGCTCGTTATTTAATGCTCATGATGTCACTTGAATTGTACCCCCCAAAGGACAAACACACTCACCATTCACACATGTGACTCCCTTGTAACAGACTCTGTGGTTCCTGGAGCTGTCTGCACGCGTGTTGATTCTGGCTCAGCTTGTTAGGAAAAAGGCAGCCAAACCCTTTCCACTCATTGCAAAGCACTGTGGAGTCAGTCTTTTCCATCTCTGCAGCCAGAACTAATTATCAGTGCAAATAGGAGAGAGAAGGAGAGCTGGAGGGGGTTGCAGAAAACTGGAGAGAAGACATTAATAGTAGAAAACCAAAATCAGCATATTTATTTTTTTGTATTAAATGTGGCTCTTTTCCCAACTTTGAGAGAAAAGAGTTTCTCAGGTTATTATTCATACAAATTAGAATACAATTACATTTAGAATATTATGGGACAGAGGTTTTTACCTCGGAGACCCACAAGGCTACTGGTATTCATTCAAGGTGAGCTCAGATCAACTTAATGAACCTATTATGTCCTTAGCTATTAAACATTAGTGTGTTTCTTGCTCTCTCCTTGCCCTTTACATCCATTGAGTCACATTTATTGTAGCCTTAGTGGGAATGTGGCTCTTTAAACCAGAAGGTTCCGGGAGTCTTCACCATTGCCCCATTTTTTGTCTCACTACAGTATGTAGCTCTGTGAGGATTTGAAGACAGGGTTGTGATGGGTCTCTAGTTTAAAAGTATGCAACTCTTGAGTCTTATC